GCGAAGATGATAAGGAAGACCACGAAGATGATAGGGATGGTTTAATGATGTTGTTTTAACCTTTTGTTTGTTATCAAGTCTTAATTTAATCATTTTGTTCATATAAGTCGTATTCTTTTTTCAATTTCTTGTTGAAGCTTCTGTCACTGTTCGATCTTGAGAAATTCCTATGTGGAGCAATTGGTTATTCACTTATTCTTCGGCGGTGGTGGTGTTCACATTTAAGGCTGCACTAAAAAAATTACCATTATTGTAATGAAAAAAGTGTATTGCATGTTGCTTTGAGCATGTTTAGCATTTATTTGTTTTCTCTTTTTAATTATAGAAATTTACTTGACATTTATTTGGCATACCACACAATTCTTACTTATTATCTAAAACCTAAATATTTATATTTATAACATTTTTTCGTCATAAATCTAACAATGAAAAGGTGCATGTCACTTTGAAAAAGTTAGCAATAATGACATTTTTGATTTAATATTTAAGATTTGAGTGTTATGCATGTAAATATTTAAATACATAGAATTGTGTGGTAAATGCCGTTGTATTTTATATTTCTAATTTTGGACAATATATTTAGTTAATGCTCTGGGAGTATTTTTTTTTTGAAATCCAACGTATACTTTTAAATTCCATCTTTTTTGATATCTTAATTATATAGCCAAGAATCTTCGTTGATGTTATTCTTGGTTGGTTATTCTTAATCTTAGCTTGAGTTTTTCTTTGTTGGTTATTTGACTGGTTATTAAGTGTTGCTGGAATATTATCTAATGTTACTAAATATTTAGTTGATTATTTTCTTACGAGAAGAAGAGATCGTCGAGATTGTAAAGATTTTAAGGTCATTCTAAGTGAGGATTTAAATACACAACATCGTTTATCAGTTCTAAATTTTAAGATGAAGAGTCGTAAAATAAAGAATACTAGGACTCATTATCGTAGAATTAGATGGGGGGACCTAAAAGACAAATAAAATTATTTTTATGAGTAAAATTCAAGATTTCAAAATTTGGGATATTCATGATGAAACAAATGCTATGTGAGAAAGTAACAAACACTATTTAATAAGCAGTAAAACATGTACTTGGAGAATCAAAATAAAAAGTTTCTTTTAATAAAAATAGTTAGTAGTGAAATAATAATGTGCAAGTAAAGATAAAATATAAGAAGTTATGTTATAAAAATTAGTTTAAATGTAAAATCTTAGAGAACTGAGAAAAATATCAAACGGCCCGCAGGAAGTCTAAAAGAACATTCTGTGATGTTAAAAATTCTACTTTAATGATCTTTATAATAGATTAGATATTTATGAGTGAAAAATATATGTATAAACTAGCCAAACAAAGAGAAATGAAAAGTAAAGATTTAACTCAAGTAAAATGTATTAAAGATGAAAATAAAAAAAGTACTTTTCTTAGAAAAAGATATTCAATATAGGTGGGCGAGTTATTTTGATAAAATTTTTAATGACGTTTCTGAAATTACGATCGACCTTAGTGATCTCAATATCGTTAATAATATGATCTTAATATCGTTAATAATAATAAATCGTTTCATTGTTACCGTCACATTAATAAAAAAGAAGTTGATGAGGCTTTAAGGAAAACTAATTAAAGAAAATCAATGGTGGAAAATTAGAGGACCTGATGATATCCCAATTGAAGTATGAAATTATTTAAAAGATTTGAGAGTTTTTTGGCTTACTAAACTCTTTAATATTATTTTAAAAACTAAAAAGATGCTTGAGGAGTGGAGGAAGAGTATTTTGGTCCCCATTTTTAAGAATAAAGGAGATGCACAAGTGTGTGCAAATTATAGAGGAATTAAGTTGATGTGTCATACTTTAAAATTATGGGAGAGGGTAATTGAACATAGGTTTAGAAGTATTACAAAGATTTCTCATAATCACTTTGGATTTATGCCGGGCAGGTCTACTATGAAAGTTATACATTTATTGAGAGGTTTGATGGAGAAGTTCAGAAATAATAGGGTGGATCTACATTTGATTTTTATTGATTTTGAAGAAGCTTACGATAAGGTTCCAAGAGATATCCTTTGGAGAGTTCTTGAGAAGGTGTTGATATGACTTATATTCAAGTCATTAAAGAGATGCATACTAGAGTTGTTACTTGTGTTCGAACTAAAGGAGGATTGACCAAATATTTTCCTATTTCTGTTGGATTGCATCAGGGATCGACTTTAAGCCCATATCTTTTTGCTTAGTTATGGATGGTCTTACTAGACTTTTACAGGAGGATGTACTTTGGTGTATGCTTTTTGCTGATGATATCCTTCTGGTGGATTAGGGGAGAGAAAAAGCTCTGAAAAAACTTGAATTTTGGAGGTCTAACTTGGAGTCTAAAGGCCTTCATTTGAGTAGAACTAAAACTGAATACATGGAATGTAATTTTAGTAGTAGTAGCTCTAGTGACATAAGTGTAACTTTGGATGATCAAATTATTATTAAGAGGTGTGAACCATTTAAATATCTCGGGCCTGTTGTTCAAAGCGATGGTGGTATAGATGGGGATCTTAATAGTAGAATTCAAGTTGGTTGAAGTGGAGGAATGTTTCGGGCCTTTTGTGTGATAGAAAAGTATCGCTTAGACTAAAAGGAAAATTTTATAAGACGGTGGTGAAACCTGCCATGCTTTATGACATTGAATATTGGCCTTTAAAAGGGAAGCATAATACTAAGTTAAGTGTTGCCGAGATGAGAATGATTAGGTGGATGAGTGGCTTTACACTTAGAGGCAAAATGCAAAATGAATATATCCGTGATAGGGTTGCTGTAGCTTCTGTGACAGACAAAATAGAGAAAGTCGTCTTAGATGGTTTGGTCACATTAAGCGTTATCCGATTATGAGAGTAGTTATGAGAGTAGTTGTTTTAGATTCGACTCATGTTAAGAAAGACAGAGGTAGACCTATGATGACTTGGGCTTATTGTATAAGAAATGATCTTTAATTTATTAGAACTAAATGAAAATTTGACACTAATAGAACGCAATGGAGAAAAGGATTCATGTAGCCAACCCCACGTAGTGAGATTAAAGCTTTGTTGTTGTTGTTGCTGGTTATTTAATGTCGCTGGTTATTGTTCGTTGGTTATCTAATGTTGTTGCCTTATTGTTGCCTTGTTGGGTTATTACAATTTCAATTGGTTGCTATAAGATGTTATTAGAGGCTATGATGATTACAATTAATAAAATCTGATTATTGGTATGACACGTGCTTATTTCATTTTGCTTGAAAGACACAAACCGTGCAACCAGATAATTGATTTACTTGAAAGTGATGAAATGAGTTCATAAATCTGAGCCTCAATTAATAATTACATCTTAACTTTTATTTTTATTTCTAATTTAATTTTTTTTCTAATACATAACTAAGAATTGTAGGTACAAAATTATTATTGACTCATCATGATTCACTAATCACTACTTATTGGATCGTCGAACATAAAGATTGAGGAATTAGTACAAAGTCAGAATTTAAATTTAATGTATTTTTTTTGAATTTTTAGGTTTATGTAAATCATAACTCGTAAGTGTATGTGTTACTGTGTATCAAAAATAAATGTAATTTTCTAAATGAATTATGCAATACAATAATTTTTTATGTTTTGATTTTTATTTAAAATTTTATTTGTATTTTTTGTACTCTTGTTTAACTTGTAAATTGTAAAATTTATAATAAATTTGTTCTTATTGTGTAAAATTTTGTAAAACAATTTTAATATTCATATTATATAAAATTTTGAATGAAATTTATTCTTGAAATTTTTTTCTAATTAATCAATGTTTTACGGTTTGAAATTAAATTATTAATACAAACAATTTTTTTAGATAAAACTATTTATTTAATTTTATTTTAAAAATTAATTATTATAATAATTTTATATTCTAAAAAGCCAATTTCAAGCCGAATACGAAAACATTGTTCACAAGCCATTTCAAACACGAGCTAATTTCGAACACGAACTTCGAATGAGCCGAACACGAGCCCAGCTTGAGTTCGCTCAGGCTCAGCTCGTTTACAACCCTAGCTAGATGCATGATTTAAAAAAAGCTATATGGATGCAGTGTATCACATTCTTAGGTACCTATAGAGTGCACCAGGGAAGCGGCAGAAGGGAAAATGAATATGTAGACATTGTGGACTTTTGTTACGTTGACTGAGTGAGTTGTGAAGATGGCAGAAGGTCCACCTCAGGGTATTGCATGTTCGTAGGGGCAACTTGGTCTCTTGGAAGTGCAAGAAATAGTCTGTAGTAGTGTGGTTAACAACAGAGGCAGAGTAAAGGGCCATACCCTTAGGAGTTGTTGAGATGATGTGGCTGAGGAAGTTGTGGGTCGACAACAAGTTCGCAATTGGCATTGCCAACAACCCGGTGCAACACGATAGCTCCAAACATGTGGAAATTGATAGATTCTTCATCAAGGAAAATGTTAGTAATGGGCTAATTGTGCTAAGTCATGTAGTCACTAGAGAGCAAGTGGCTGACAGCCTCACTGAACAACTTAATTCATTAGATTTGTCTACGTTATGTGACAAGATGGGCTCAGTGGATATCTTTTGCCCATATTGTGGGGGAATGTTGAGAACTGGATCTTATTTAGGGTCCCATTGGTAAAAAGATGATATTGAAGAAGTCTAGGGGTTTATTTATAACACATTGTAATACCCTATTTAAGTCTTTATTATGAATGTACAGATTAAGTTTCACCCAATTCTTTCTACCAGCACAATCTTGGATGTTTGAGCATGAAATCTATGTTTAATAGCACATGGATGGTGACAAATGCACGCAAGTGCATGCCAGAAGATGGTTTACTGTGTATGAAAATAGCTTGATAAGGTTACAGTAAGTTTTTTGAGCTCCTGGTTGGAATTTGTAGAAACTTGTCCATTTTTGTGCTTGAGGTTGTTATGTATTAATTGTTTATTTTATAGCAATTTACAAGATAGTGAATAGTGTACTTAACGATTTTTCAGGCTGGATCTTTGCCAGTTCACGGGGTTGCTATTCCTACAATTAATGGAATCAGGAATGTACTTATTCATATTGGTGCACGACAGAATGGGAAACAAAAGAAAGTACTTTGGCATAATCTCCGTGAAGAACCAGTAAGATTTTTGCATCCAGAGCGGAACTTTGTTTAAGGCCTACACAAGACAATTTTTCTTAGTATTTGTCTTCTAGCATGTTGTAATTTTGTCTTTTTTTTAAAAAAACTTTTTCGGTTTTTTTTTTCCTGTAGAGCTGCTTTTATATTTTATTATTGTATCAGGTGGTATACATAAATGATTGTCCTTTTGTCTTGCGAGATGTGGAAAAGCCCTTCTCCAATCTAGAGTACACGGTATGAAAATAAACCTTATTTTTACATGCCTTTGAAAGCATCTAATCATTTTAGACCACGATTAGCTTGCCATAATAGTTGGCCTAATTTCTTTTACTTATTTCTTTCTTGCAGTAGGAGTAAATTAGAATGAGGATTTATGAAATACTACTCTCAACCTTCTATGATCATGTCTGTTTAGCACTGGCTCGGTATTAACTCCATAAATCTGATAATATTTCGTTTAGTTATAAATACACTTATTGATGAAAGATACTATATCCTTTCATAAATTGTGATACCATAGATCTGATAATATTTCTGTTTAGCTAATGCTTACCATTGACCTGGTTTTTGTCATTTGTGAACGGAAAGCATTAGCCATTTGAAAATTGAATATTGCTTTTTTACCATGTCATGCATTTGTCAACTATCAGAGCCTTTCTATTTGCGGTCTATTCTATCTTTTGAATGTAATATTTATTGCATTATTTTTCTATAGACATATTCATGGCCTTCTATCTTTTAATTTTCTTCTTTCTCAATCCTTTTTGGTATTAGGTTTCTTTTAGGATATCTTTCAAAAAGATACAAGTAATTTTTAATAGGTATCTACCATTATGAAAGCATAAATATAAGACAAAATTACATATATGTGGGCCCTCTAGGCGATAACAATTGTTTTTTGTTTATATTAACAAATATTAACTCTCTTAATAAGTAGCTTTGGCATAAAGTCTAGGCGATAACAATTGTTTTTTGTTTATATTAACAAATATTAACTCTCTTAATAAGTAGCTTTGGCATAAAGTTCAAATCATATAATCTGTGTATAAACCTATGCAGATGGTGGACTGCTAACCTTGATCTATTGACTTAGGGTGCGTTTGGGGCGGCTGTTGTTTTTCCAAGAAGCAGCTGTAAAGCTGTTTGTTGGAGAAGCTGCTTGTTGGAGAAGCTGCTTCTCAAGAACTGTCAGAAAGTTGTTGATGAAGAAGCAAAAGTCTGTTTGGGACATCTATTGTGCTGTTGTTGTTTTTGATGAAAAAATTTGTTTTGACCATGCAATATATTCAAATAATTGCAGTTTTGAAAATATTGACAACAAGATCATAGAAAGATGTTCTACTACCAAAAAAACATCAGTACAGTGCAAAATACTCTAATATATAAATCATATAACTACAATAATGAGGACAACCATAATAACCTGCAAGTCTAGGATGATGTTCTTCCTCTTGCCCTGACGATCAAGTCTTCGGAATAATCTCCTTTCCATAACAGCATCCCTTATGAACCAAGTATTATCCGAATCAAAGTCATCTGTTTCATTAACCCAACGAAAGTAATTGCAATTCTCAGGTGTCCTATTTCTGGGACAACAATAAAATCTTCTACCGTACCTGCTTTCTTTTCTTGACCAGTAATCAACACACCGTGTGCCATAGTAGCAACTTGGAACTCTCGAAGTACCTGATGCTCTTGAAATCATGTTTCTTGTGATTATAATATACTATGACTTCATTTGAGAAAATAATAAATATGTGCAAGAAACATTAAAAAAATAGTAGTTTTATAATAGAAAATGGAAGGTAATTAGGACACATCAAGAAAACTATAATACAGATTCGTGGAAAGATTTAGAAAATATACATCCACACATCCAACATACAACTGAAATATGAATTATCAATAAGAAATCACTAGGTGATGTTACATGAATACGGTTGATGCGTTGACCAAAGCATCAATGATTTCTTCTCTTAACTGTATCATCTCTTGCACACATTCTCATTCGGGAGTGTTGTACTCGGTTATACAGAAGTCTTTATTGGACACTGAATGTCTGGTCTAATGTTGTTTAGCTTCGTCAGGCATGTAAGTAAGATCTTCGTCTATGACTCTGAAATCGATATCGTCTTGGGATGGATGCTTCCATATAAAATTATGAAGTGTTGTTGTTACAACAACTATTTTTACATGTTTTTTGAAAGAGAATGTAGACATATCTTGGAGTATGATCCACTTCTTCTATACATCGAATGCTCTTTCGATGATACTCCTTAATGACAGTTGTCTTTTATTGAAGAGTTCATTCCTCCCTCTAATCACTTGATTGCTGCACTCAAAATCAGAAAGGTGATAATCGTGCTGGAAATGATTTTTAAGAAATTCTGTTGTAATAAATATCCCAAATCGACTAGGTAATATTTTTCTGGATAATGACATCATTAGTGCTTTTCCTGAAATAAAAATCTTCTTGTGATGTCTAAATGTACTAACCGCTGAAAGGCATTGGAAATTTGAATTAACGTTGCAAGGTTGCAAATTTGAAAATTTTGCTATTGTGATTACTCAATTCCCAGCCAGCTCTTATAAATGTGAAACACATTGAAATCACACATAACTAAGATATTTTGTGTAGCAACCTCACACCTTCCAATATATGCGATCTTCTTCTCATTGCCAACATGTGCATCGACATGCGTGCTGTCAATTGCTCCGATGTAATTTTTTTTTTTTAAAATTTTTTAGACCACTATTTCTATTTTCTTAAATTGTACTATTGCTAGAATAGATAGAGATACGAATACCTTTAAGAACGACATATATCTCAGATCACTATTGATTTCTCGTGGTGTTTGCGAAAAAACAAGGTTTAAGGGTTTCACATTACTGTAGTATATTTTTACGAAAGAGTTGACCCCGATCTTGAAGTACCTGCTAATTGTCTCTGAGGAGTGTTGGAAACGTTCAGAAGCAGCATAGATGGACTCATCGTGTGATAAAATAAAAAGCATGATAGCTGGAACTTCTCCGGACATAAAAGGGGAAAATTCATGCAAATCATATTTGGACTGCAATTCGTCGAGCAAATCACTGAAAATATGTTATTGACTTTTTGAACATGCTTTTCATTCTAATTAGATGAGCTTTGAGTAGTTCACCGACCCATTTGTCAACCACTGATGATGTTGACACATGAGGGGTCTTACTCATATTTCTCTGACAATACTCATTGATGAGACAAGCTGCTGTGATCGGCATAGTTGCTCTCTCAATTATTTCTATATTTTCCTCTTCATCTGGCGGGTTCATCTGTTTAAAAGATATGTGTTAGATTTTAATATTAAGTGAATATTATTACAAAAGTGTAAAGAACTATTAAAAAGAGTCAAAATGAAAGCACTACAAATACTCATAAGCTAAATATCGAAATGCCACGTAAGCATGACGCAATCCATAGTTCATCCTAGAAGTGTGAATTATTATTTCAGGAAATGCCAAATAGTAGTGACAAAAAATAACAGCTAGGTACTTTGCATCTGTAGAAAATATCGGAGGTAAGAATCCTCCGTTCCGGCACCAAAGTGGAAAAAGCTTCCTGCTTGTTGTAGTCCTCAAGAAGTTTTACAACGAATAAGTAGAGGGACATGTCATAGAAAATCTTTGGAATTGAGTCCAACAACTTCACAACGTTTGTCATCATTGGGTATCCATGTAGAGTTTTACGAGCGCCATATGTGATACTTATGAAATTAGTTACTAGCTGTGAGATCTGCTCAGATAAGCGCGTTGCCCTAGACTTCATTTTCTTCTTTTCCGTCTAGGTGGAGGTTCTAGGTCGTTTGGACTGACTGGACTCACCCCACTCTCGTTCCTTTGGATGTTCCTCTTGGATCTAATTTAAATGAGCACATTCAGGTTCATCCAAATTTTGGGTGAGGTTCTCTGTTGTGGCCCAGACATTGATACCTTTGACCACAACATCAATAAACATAATATCAAGCTTTTCCTCTAGCTCTAGGTCAATGCCAGCAAGCCTAAAATTTTTGGCATTGGGCAATACCTACAATCGATGAAAATCCATTTCAAATTAACTACATTCAATGAAGTCGTAGTTTAATAAATCATTATCTATTTACAAAAACTTTATCTCATCACCACTCCTCTAACGCATCAACTGTTTTCTTAAGAGGGTCCCAATCTAATCCAATAAACCCTCTCTTTAGCTCTTTTCACAATTTTCATTTTTTTTTAGCTTTTTAGTTGAGTTTTGTCATACAGTCTATTTATTTTATCATAAAAGTTTTCGGTGATGTTTTGTGATTACTTTTTGTTGAAGTGTGTGGTTAGTCTATTTCCAGTCTTTATCTCTCTCAAATACAAATCACAAAATATGATCATTACCTTTTTTATCCCAAATAATAGATAACCCACTTTCCTTTTGTTTACCCATCTGAACTATAATACAATTAAAACATTTAGAATGATAAATAACTAAAAAAAAAAGAACCAAATGAAAATTCAGTGAAATCCTGAAGGTTCGAAGTAGAGCTCAATGAAATTCAAGTTATCAAAGAAAGCTTCATCCTAAACCACCAAATGTACCATTCATACTTTAAGACCAAGTATTATTTGTGACACGTGTGATCTAAGAGCAAGTCGTATTTGTCGCAAATAGTGGCAATTGGTGATCGTTTGAGCCCTTTGTTTTTTTTTCATTATTTCTCTACATATCATTTTAAAAATGAAATGCTTCACACCTGCAAAATCCGAAAACCGGGTTAATTCAAAGTCCGGGTCCAAGAAACCCAACAAATTCGAGAGCCAAACAACAATGTACTAACATCGTATAAATGGTTACAAACAAGGCAACATTAAAATGATAAATTTTAAAATCATATCATCCAATCCCAAAAATGTGCACATAGATGTTAGATCAGTAACTGTATTTCCCTTTCCTCTTTACTTTAAAATGATTGTATGGAGAGAATTTAGGAGCTGTGCTAGTTATTTTGAAATTATAAATGAGTATTTGGTTTTCTATCATTGCAAATGCCTCATTTTTCATATTAGATTAGTAATTGCATTTTCTTTTCTTCTTATTCGACTTGAAAAGTATTATATTGATAAATTTTAGGTGCGTGGATCTTTTGAGTATATATCTGGGAAAAGTTGTTTTGAATTAATGCAACTATCTTAGTTTAGATGTCAGATCAGTAACGTTGGCCCAAACACGTCCTGAAAGCTCAGTGAGATCCCTATATCAAAGAAGGCTTTGTTCTTTATCACCATTTTTATCATATAGGCTGCAAAACTGATTAGTGTCTATTGCAATTGGTGATCGTTTAGTACTTTGATCTAATTTTCCATCATTGCTCTACTGTAAAGTCGAAATATGAAATGTATCACAACCTAAAAATTTGAATCCAGCATCCCAATGGGCATTAATAATAATCCAACATCTAAACAATTTGATATTTTCATTTGATCAATACTGTCTCTTCTTGATTTAACAATTAAACAAAGCTATTTGAACAATTTGACAAAGCATCCCAATGGGCATTAATACTGATCCAACATCTAAACAAGTAATCCAGCATCCCAATTAAGCTATTTGAATCCAGCATCCCAATGGGCATTAATACTGATCCAACATCTAAACAATTTGATATTTTCATTTGATCAACACTGTTTCTTCTTGATTTAACAATTAAAAAAAGCTATTTGAAGTGCTTCTAAATTCTCTCTATCACTGATCCAACATGAAAACTGAAGCATTTGTAATTGCAGAAAATCAAATTCTTATGTATATATTTTCAAAATAACTAGCACTGCTCTAACATGAACTCTCTCCAAATAATCCTTTCAAACTTTGAATAAGAGGACGAGAAAATGCAGTTATTGATATAACATGAAAACCAAGACATTTGCAACAGCAGAAAATCAAATTCTCATTGATATATTTTCAAACAAGCATGCACTACTCCTGAATTCTCTTACGACAATCCTAGCAAAGTATGAAAAAGAGGAAATGAAAATACCATAACTGATCTAACATAAGAATTGAAATATTTGCAACAACAGAAAACCAAATTCTGGTTATTATATTTTCAAAATAATTAGCACTGCCCCTAAATTCTCTCCAATTAATCCTTTCAAAGTTTGAAGAAGAGGAAAGAAAAATGAAAACACTGTTCTAAAATGAAAATTAAGACATTTGCAATAGAAAAAAATCAAATTCTTATGTATATATTTTCAAAATGACTAGCACTATTTCTAAATTCCTTCCAAACAATCCTTTTAAAGTTTGAAGAAGAGGAAAGAGAAATGCAAATATTGTTCTAACATAAAAACTGAGACATTTGCAATGTACAAAATTCAAATTCTCATGTATATATTTTCAAAATAACACTGCTTCTAAATTCCCTCCATACAATACTTTCAAAGTTTGAAGAAGTGTAACAAGAAATTCAATTTCAGATCTAACACTAGAATTGAGACATTTGCAATAGCAGAGAACCAAATTCTCTTGCATATATATTTTCAAAAGAACAAACAATGCTCCTAAATTTCCTCTATACAATCCTTTTGAAGTTTGAAGAAGAGTTGAGGGAAATGCCATCATTGTTTTAACATAAGAATTGAGACATTTGCAATAACAGAAAATCAAGTTCTCATGTGTATAATTTCAAAATAACTAACACTGATCCTAAATTCTCTTCACAGGATCCTTTTAAAGTTTGAAGACGAGGAAAGTCAAATGCAATCACTATTCTAACATAAAAACTTAGGCATTTGCAATAGCAAAAAACTGAATTCTCATTTATATATTTTCAAAAAAAGAAGCATTGCCTCTAATTCCTCCATACAATCCTTTCAAAGTTTAAAGAAGAGGAAGAGGAAATGTCGTCACTGATTTAACATGAAAACTGAGACATTGACAATAGCAGAAAAAAATTATCATATATATATATTTAAAATAACTAACATTGCTCTAACATAAATTCTCTCTGAACAATCCTTTCAAAGTTCGGAGAAGAGCAAGAGGAAATGTAATCACTAATCTAACATGAAAACTGAGACATTAACAATAACAAAAAAATCAATTCTCATGGATATATTATCAAAAGAACAAACTCTGTTCGTAAATTCTCTCAATACAATCATTTTCAAGTTTAAAGAGAAGGAAAATGATATGCAATTACTGATCTAACATGAAAACTGAGACATTTGCAATAACATTAAATCAAATTCTGATGGATATATTTTGACAAGAACAAAAACTACTCCTAAATTTCTTCAATACAATTATTTTTAACTTTAAAGAAGAGAAAAGAGAAATGTAATCACTGATTTAACATGAAAACTGAGACATTTGCAATAACCGAAAATCAAATTAACATTGATGTATTTCCAAAATAACCAACACTGCTCCTAAATTCCCTTTATAGAATTCTTTTCAAGTTTGAAGAGGAGGAAAGGGAAATGTAATCACTGATCTAACACAAAAAATAATAACTCAAAATAACAACCATTGGTCCTAAATTCTCTCCAAACAATCATTTCAAATTTTGAATAGGAGGAAATGAAAAACATGAAATGTGAGTCACAATAGCAAAAAATCAAATTCTCGTAGACATATTTAAAAAAAAAAAACAAACACGGCTCCGCAATTCCCTCTAAATAATCTTTTTCTAAGTTTGAAGAAGAGGAAAGAGAAATGCAATTATAAACCTAATATAAAAACCAAGATATTTGCAAGATTAGAAAATCAAATTCTCGTGATTTTCTTCTCAAAATAACCAACACTGCTTCTAGATTACCTTCATACAATCCTTTCAAAGTAACCAACACTGCTACTAAATATAAGAAAACCACCAAATCAACAAAGCCACCAAGCCACTCAATGATCTCAAACACCAGACAGTAGAAGGATAAACAACTAAAAATATAACAAAGTAACAAAATAACATAATCAAACCATAAAAAAGTGTGAGAAGAGGAGGCATTATACATACAGAGAAGAAAGGCGACAGTAGTTGAACAAGTGGATCGAGATTTTTCCCTAAAGCCGTAGCGACAGAGAAAGATATGAGAGGAGGAACAAAAGGCGAAGTGAGGCTAATATTGGGGACATAGGGCAGAATAATGCCATTTCCTTGGGGGGCAACGAGGGGATTTTGCAATCGAAACGGAGCATCCGCTGCTGAATGCATCAGCTCTACGTTTCCACTTTCTCAGTTTCGCGCATGAGCGACAACGAAAAGGAGGGCAAAAGCCGACAGCCAAACGTGTCAAATGATTTTTTGAAAATGAAAACCTACAAAACTGGTGCTCTAAATGGGCTCTTAGGGTCTGTTTGGGGTAACTGCAGCTATTTGAAGAAACAGTTGTGAAGTTTTTGCGAAAGAAGCTACTGTTCAAAAAGCTGCGGTGGTTATTAAAAATTTTTTTCCCTAAAAAGTTAGATCGAAACTTTCTAATAGTCACCACACTTAGTTAAGTTCGATTTTGCAGCTTCTTGAAAAGCAGACAAAACGTAGTTTTGTCAAATAGAAAAAGTGCAGTGCAACACTGTATCGCCACCGCACCGTTGCCCTAAATGCACCCTTAAGCTCATGTAATCAAGAACATCCTCTTCAATATGTTATGAATAGGGAACTATTTTGATAGATGATTTTTTCTATTTTGTTAATTAGAGTTATCTAAGAAAATGGCCCAAATGGTTTCTGCACTATTTGGGGACGCCATTTTACTTTTAAACTATTTAAAGTGTCCAATTTAATTCCTTGTTAAATATGATCTAAAATAGTCCTGTAGTTAGCATTTTTGTTTAATTGGATGAGAATTTCATGCATATTTCATGAATGAAATGACAAATAAGGGTATTTCACTTAATTAAGGTGTACAATAATTTCATTTTTCAAATAATGCCATTATTTCCAGCCTCATTTTAACAGTGAGACTATTTTGGATCTTGTTTGAGAGAATGGATTAGATTGGATACTCTAAATAGTTTGGGTTTAAAGTAATGCTACCTTACAACAAATAGTTCATGAAGTAATTTGATCATTTTTTTAGTTCTAAATAAACAAATAATAAAAAGTTTCTCTACGACGGCTTGATCATAGCACCTTGGTACATTTTCATCTTTTTAAGAATTGGATGAATGTTTCCTCCTTTTATATAAAAATTCTCTTTTGATTCATACCAATCCTAAATATTATTATATTTAAATATGTGTGAATTTTTTCCCCTCGATCTTCGCATTTCTAATAGGGAATAAACAGAGCTAGAGTTGAACAGATGGAATTTCGTTTAAAAGAAGATATCCTGATTGAAGCGGCCCGGTATTTTTGTATATTATTTTGTTCTTATTGCATTGTTTTATGTTTGAAAATGATAGATTGTATTTGAAATGTTTAATTGCAGGTATGGGAGTAAAATTCTTGTTACTGATGAACTGCCTGATGGTCAGATGGTGGACCTATGGGAACCAGTGACACGGGATCATGTTAAGACTCCTTTGGAGGTATGAATAGTTTGACTTATGCAGCTGTAATTTTGGTCATTTATATATGATTGTCATAATATTCACCATTTGTTTTATTTGATAGGTTTATCAAGAGTTGCAGATGGAAGGCTACCTTGTTGATTATGAGAGGGTTCCCATTACAGATGAAAAGTCCCCTAAAGAGCGAGATTTTGATGATTTGGTTAGTCATCCATTCCAATAATTTACTTTTATGTCATCACGTCTTAAATATATATATATATATATATATATATATATATATAGATAGTTGTTTTTTCATTTTAGATGGAACAAATTTTATTTTTTGCATATGAAAATCCCCAGGTAGTTTTGAAGCTGTGATTCACTTCTTATTTTTTTTAAATACCAATTTTTATTTGTTTTTATGCTTATGCACTCACCTATATGTGCTAAGTTTTGAACTCAAGAGTCAAGGCATCGTGATTTGAGAGAAAGCACCCAATGATAAGGCCAAGTGGGTTGCGCTTTTAACTTCTTTTATTTATAGTAGCTTGTCATGCCTTTGTTTGAAATATCCGACAATCTTACCTTTGGTCGTTCTACTCTATCATAAGCTGCCTTCTTTGTAGTATGAAATTGATTTTTGGTTAACACTGAATTTGCATGTTGAGAAATAACAATGATGAACCATTTTTTTTGATGTAGTATTAATCCGGCTGCATAATTGTTTCTTTGTCCATGTCAGGTGCATCGGATTTCTCAAGTGGAAAATGATACTGAATATATTTTTAATTGTCAAATGGGTAGGGGAAGAACTACAACAGGGATGGTGATAGCTACTTTGGTTTACCTTAATCGTATTGGAGCATCGGGTGAGAGCATAACTTGCAACATTTATACCATGAACTTTCAACGATATCTATGACTCACTTGAGTTTAAAATTTGCACCGCACTCCTATGAGACAGTACACTGGGCTTCTAATATAGATTATTGTGACATATTTGGTGTAAATGAGTTAAGTCGAGCCTACTCGCTTTGCTCATAGTAGGCTTGATCTCTAGCTCAAGCTCCTATATTGTGCTCGAGCTTTGATCATCTTAAACTTTTAGCTAGTAGTGCGCTCGATTTTCCCCTGCTTTATCATACCCTTGACAGTGAAGAAGCAAGGAAGTTGTGATAGTAGCTTGTTTAAGAAGGGATAAAAATTTGAAGCTTTCTAGGGAAGGGTCTGACGGTGAGAAAGTTATTGCGGGAGCTTGTTGGAGAAGACATTGGTGGGACCACTGACAAGAAAGTTGCTGTTGGATTTTGTTGGAGAATGAATTATTGAGACCAACGGGGATGAAGTGCTGGGAGCTCTTTAGTGAATGCGTCGACATGATTAGACAATTAAGAATTCACTACGGGAGCTCACTTTATAAGGAAATGATGGGATCAACGACATTTGAAGAAGAAGAGTTTGTGAGACTAGCGGCCTCCATACAGGCTCAAGATTAACCTAAAATGGAAGAAATCAGATTTTGGTCCACCTATTTATTCTAATAGAGTTAGTTTGCAAGCAAACGAATCTAGTTTTTTCAAGCTTGAAGTTGAGCTCAACCTCTTTTAATATATGAGTTGTAATTTGAGCTCGAGCTCGAGCTCATGGTTCAATCAGCTTGACTTAAGAGCCGGCTTAGCTCACTTATATCTTTTGCACCTCACTTCGACGGTGGTTCTCTGTAATACATTAATATATGTTTGCATTTTTTTGCTTGTAGGCATTCCAAGGACGCATTCCATTGGAAAAATTTTCAACACTGGGGTTGATGTCACTGATAATATGCCTAATTCTGAGGATGCTGCACGGAGAGGTGAATACACTGTTATTAGAAGCCTAGTTCGTGTACTGGAGGTCAGAAATCTTGTCATTTACTTTTCCCATGTTCGCTAGCGAGAATCTGTTAGAGATTCACCATTGAATATGATTTCTTTCCTTGTAGGGTGGAGTAGAGGGAAAACGGCAAGTGGACAAAGTTATTGATAAGTGTGACGCCATGCAGGTTTGAATATTTTTTGTGGAAACTTCCAAAAAGTTTGAATTATGTGACAACTTCTTTCCTGTTAAGTGACTTTATCAGCCCTAGTTTGCACAGCCAACTTCAACCTTTGGAAAATGGATCTCCGAAATTGACATTTTTTTCTATCTTAAGCTTTGTTTGTTTGGTTCTACAGAATTTGAGAGAAGCTATTAGCAATTATCGTAACAATATACTTCGCCAGCCTGACGAGAAGAAGAGGGAAGCCTCACTATCCTTCTTTGTGGAATACTTGGAAAGATATTACTTTCTCATTTGCTTTGCTGTTTACATCCACACAGAAAGAGCAGCTCTTCATGCTAGTTCAACCGAGAGAAAAACATTTTCAGACTGGATGAGAGCAAGACCCGAACTGTATAGCATACTGCGCAGGTGTGTATCTTGCCAAATTCCAGTGCCGGTTCCATTTTAAGAATCATCAGAACGATGTTGGTTCAACAATCACTCAACCCTGAGTTTTGGAGAGGAATTTATGGATATGCAAATCTAGAATTAGATTATTATCCTTCTACATGGATAAAAGAAACAATTCGATGCAAGTTTGTGTTTTTAGTCATTTTTCAATATTAAAACATCTAAATAACTAATAAATCTATTTATTTTTATATGTGCTATTAGAAGTATTAGTATATCAAAATTCTTTTCCTTTCATATCTAGTTAGCCGTTTTCAATATGCGTACTTAGCATCTTGTGATGGTTTAGATGCCGGGATATATTATCAAAACTGATATACATTTATGTTTAGGTTGTCGTTTGTTTAGCAAATATAAAAAGCATTTTTTGATGGACTGGATAGGGGGATAAGTGTAATGCTCAAATTTCAAGAAACATGTAAAATTCGGCAAGTTTGAAAAGTATCTCAAATTTCACACATCTCAGAATTTGGTTAAAGCAATTTTATAAAATTCTATGCATGAAATCAATTAATTCGATATCAAATACTATATGTAAATTATGAACGGTTTGATAGGTATTTAATTTTGAAGTTATAAATATAATTATCTTAATTATTATGTAATTTTTGCCTAATCTCCCGCATGTGCACCATAGCCATCGACTCCTCCCGCACTTACTCGAGCATGCGCCAGTTGGATGAGATCGAACGGCTAGGAATTTCTTATGTGCTACTTCCCATTGCCCACTACCTAGTCTCGGTTTCCTGCCCCAGGGGAGCTCCTGCGATTGAGTACTGTAGCTAAGTCACGAAAAACAAGGGGCGAGCGGCCACCTGAGAACCGTAGAGCACGATTTAGGATTTCAGGGTGATTTTCATTAGTGTGAATCATTGTCTCACATCATTTGAAACTTTCATTTTCTTTCTCATTCTTCCGTTTTGACATTTGCCTTGTTTTTCGACTTTTCTCGTTTTCGGCAGCTGTCGGAGGCGCAGATTTTGTGCCATAAGTGTCGTAATTGATTTTGCGAGCTTCTAAAAAATATTTAAGCACGAAATCAGTGAGGAGAAGCAAGATTTGAGGTGATAGGTTGGAGGAAATGTGAAAATTGGTGATTTTGGGAAGGCGAATTTAGCAGAAAAGCTCTTTTGAGGTATGTATTGACAAATAAAGTACATTTTTGGGTTAATGCATGTTATGAACCAAATTTTATGAAATTCTATGTTGTATACAGGCCCCAGGTTGTCTATACATAGCGACGTGTGGACACTTGTCTTAGGGCTGCTCCGTTAGGTCAGCTGGAATAATCTTGTGCTAATTTAAGAAAATAATCTTCTATATGTTTTCATATGATTTTTAGTTTGACAGAGATGCATTTGAAATTTCATGCATAATTTAAATGGATATCTTCAATTGAATGTATAAATACATGTTTACTTCTCTTACGATATATATGATGATATGCTATGTTATGATACAAGTGATTAAGCGTACGAAATTAATTGTCTGTATGTATTCATTTGTTGTGCTTCATGCCTATGACATATATAATATCTTATAAATGCTTGATATATGAATGATCTAATTTTTGCAATGAATGTTATAAGTAGACTATTAGTGATTTTAATATCGTGAATAATAATAAAACGTTTCTTTTTTACCGTCGCATTAGCAAAAAAGAAGTTGAGGAGGCTTTAAAGAAAACCAAGGGTGGAAAGTCTGTAGGATCTGATGATATCCCAATTGAAGTGTAGAAATATTTGGGAGATTTGGGAGTTTCTTGGATTACTAAACTTTTTAATATTATTTTAAAAACTAGAAAGATGCCTGAGGAGTGGAGGAAGAGTACTTTGGTCCCCATTTTTAAGAATAAAGGGGATGCACAAGAGTGTGCAAATTATAGAGGAATTAAGTTGTTGTGTCATGCTTTAAAATTTTGGGAGAGGGTAATTGAACATAGGTTAAGACACATCACAAAAATTTCTCATAATCAATTTGGATTTATGCCGGGCAGGTCTACTATGGAAGCTATACATTTATTGAGAGGTTTGATGGAGAAGTTCAGAGATAATAAGGAGAATCTACATTTCATTTTTATTGATTTAGAAAAAGCTTACGATAAGGTTCCAAGAGATATCCTTTGGAGAGTTCTCGAGAAGAAATGTGTTGATATGACTTATATTCAAGTCATTAAAGATATGCATACTAGTGCTGTTACTTGTGTTCAAACTAAAGGAGGATTAACAAAATATTTTCCTATTTCTGTTGGATTACATCAGGGATCAGCTTTAAGCCCATATCTTTTTACTTTAGTTATGGATGAGGAAGTACCTTGGTGTATGCTTTTTGTTGATGATATTCTTCTCGTGGATAAAACGCGAGAAAAAGCCCAGGAAAAACTTGAATTATGGAGGTCTACATTGGAGTCTAAAGGCCTTCGTTTAAGTAGAACTAAAACTGAATACATGGAATGTAATTTTAGTAGTAATAGCTCTAGTGACAGAAGTGTGACTTTGGGTGATCAAATTATTAAAAGGTGTGAACGATTTAGATATCTTGGGTCCGTTGTCCAAAGCGATGGTGATATAGATGGGGTGTTAATAGTAGAATTCAAGTTGGTTGGTTGAAGTGGAGGAATGCTTCGGGCCTTTTGTGTGATAGAAAAGTAACGCTAAGGCTGAAAGGAAAATTTTATAAGATGGTGGTGAGACCTGCAATGCTCTATGGGGCTGAATGTTGGCCTTTAAAAGAGAAGCATAATAATAAGTTAAGTGTTGCCGAGATGAGAATGATTAGGTGGATGAGTGGTTTTACACTTAGAGACAAAATGCGGAATGAATATATTCGTGATAGGGTTGGTTTAGCTCCTGTGACAGAAAAAATTAGAGAAAGTCGCCTTAGATGGTTTGGTCATATTAAACGTCGACCATTAGATGATCCGATTAGGAGAGTAGATGTTTTAAATTCGACTTGTGTTAAGAAAGGCAGAGGTAGACCTAGGAAGACTTGGGCTTATTGTATTAAAAATGATCTTAATTTACTAGAACTAAATGAAAATATGACACTAAATAGGACGCAATGGAGAAAAATGATTCATGTAGCCGACCCCACGTAGTGGGATTAAGGCTTTGTTGTTGTTGTTGTTGTTGTTGTTGTAATGTTATAAGTAGACTATTATTTGAATGCTTGTAAGTACACTATGCAAGGATATAATATTCCCAACTCCTAATATTTATACGGGGACGAACCTCTGGGAATCGTTGGGATTAGGTTGTGGTAGAACGTTAAAAAGCCGTGGGTATTTGAGGGCTATGAATAACTGTTATGTTTGGGAAAACTCAACCTTTATCGATAGTTTATATGACTCTTGAGATAGGGAGACGACCCATGATGAAAAAATATGGAAATAGTTGAACTCTATGCATTAAATAAGTGAAATTATTATGATGAATTTTATGAAATGACATTCCTATGATAATTTACTCTGAACATTCTTTTGATTATCTTATAATTTCATGCTTATGACTTATATGTTACACTATAGTTTTGATTTTTTTTTATATTACATGTATTTGCTCTCTTTTCATGTTCTCTATTATATTAACATGTTATGATTTATGTGTAGGCATGTATAATTTCATGTGAGCATACATGTTTCTTTTTTATATATAAAATTTTATGTTAGCCCTGATTATTTCTTTGAGCTTGTTGTTGCTCATTCTTTATTGTTGCCTTCCAAGTAAGGGCAACGAGCACTGGGGCGAGTAGCTAGGTGCGTCATTGTACGACTTTTGTACGATAGTTTGGAAAGCTTATACATATGTTTTTGGTACATATTTTTGCTATATTGGATTTAACACATCTATATTGTTTCATGTTTTGGATGATATGATTTTCATGATTCCAAGTAGATATATGAAATGTAATGTATCAAATATGTTGCAGCATTCTAATTATACTAATTTATCATCCACTGAGTTCTAATTACAAAGTCTGAACGAGTTCTAGTGAGAGGTGTGATCAAATTGCCAGTCTCTGTCACACTACGATTGACCATATCGGGGGGTTAGTTGGGGTGTGACAAAAAGTAGTATCAGAGCGTGTTATTGGATGAAAAAAATAATTGAAGCTTGTAGGATTTTGAGGAAGTACAAATGAGATCAAATATGAATTGATTTCTACAAAGCTATAGGTTAATGAATCTGAGGTGGGTAACTCTTACAAATTAAGTTCACGTGTGCACGATAAAATTATTATATGTAAATTGCATGTGAATAAGAAATTGTGTCAATACAGATAAACATGTCTGGAGAAGAATTAGAAAGTACAGAAGGCCAATCTCGTTGGCCAAGTGCAGAGCACAAAGTTAGAACTGCAAATGTTTTGAACACAAATTAAAATTAGAATAAGACAAATGAGGACTGGAGTTACTGAGTTACAGGGCATTCTATAGCTAATATCATAGGTGGTAAACAAAATGACTGCTATCAAAAAAACTTCCACCGGTACAGAACCCAGATTCGAAATTGGGGTAGAAGTGGATCGACTCTTAAAGATATTTTATATTTTTGAAGCCACCTGCATTCAAGAGTGCTAGTGATCCTACAGTTGCTGAAGATTTGCTCTTAAAGATTGGAAAAATTTTAGACGGTATGATTTGTCTGGAAAATAAGAGAGTAGTGTTAGCTACGTTCATGCTAAAACGCGAGGCAGAAAGGTGGTGACAGACGTAGCATAGAGAAAAATTTCAGCTGACATCTCTTCCACAAATTCAGTAGGAAGAATTTGTTAAAGTCTTTAAAGATTGGTTTATTACTCCTTCAACCAAAATAACAATGCATGATAAGTTTTTCAATCTAACTCAAGTGTTCAAGAAACTTATGCAATATGAGGAAAAATTCACTTCTCTTTCCAGATATGTAGCTCACTATGTCAACACCTAAAATGAAAAGTGTCACAATTTTTTGCACGATCTC